AGAAATAATATTGTACTTTCATGGGAAAACCAACAATAACATTATACCTTAGGTATTAGGAGACCAAACATCAAAGCAGGTGAAAAAAAAGTATGAATGAGTTAATAACTCTTGCCACTTGAGCTTATCTCTTTCTGAGAAATTTGAAACATTTTGTATAGCCGTGTATTTTGATGGACTTCAAAACTTCAAGTTGAAAGCTATTGAACACCACAGGTAAATTTGCATAAAAAACTTGTGATCATAACGTCAATGAAATATCATTAGGATCCAGTCATTGCAGTGTTGCCCCAAAAAATTGAAAACCTTCAAACATCAACGAAACATTGTGTGAATTATCACTGTTTGATATTCCTTTAATCTTCTTCTATAGGATTTTTTAGTCTGATGCCATTTCAAACAAACCAATCTGTTGTGACTACACTAACAAATTACAAAAAGTAAAACACAAATCGAAACACCCCCCCCACCAGCCATATACACCAAACACTAAAAAAGTTTTGCGACAACAGTATATAATTTTAACCGTACGCCTCTACCTAATTAATATAAACACAACGCCTTTTCCTTTACCAATACCCTTTCGGCCTCCCCCCTGCATTTATCAGTTGTGATAAAATGTTTCTTTATAGAGAGTGTGAATACCTATAGAAGAAAATTAGATGTGCAAATATTCTGCAGAATGGTAAACTAATAAAAAGTAGATGAAATGATTTAGACATTCCCTCTTTTGATTTCTAAGCTAAACCAAATAGTTGTGGGGCTTGGGTGTTTGACTGATAATAGTTTCAACATGGGATGTTTGTCAGATTCTCTGAACCTTACCTTGAGTGCCATTACATACTATATCCAAAAAAATCATTAGACCTTTTCACCATCAAGGGTAGCTAAAGTGATCAAAATTTTTAATTTGGAATCACACAATCTAATCAACCTTTTTCATCCGGCCCATCAATACATCCCCATATGAAAATATGCTTGTTAGCTTTACATTACAAGTTAACTTATGGGATTAAGTAAATGAATTTTTCTCTTCAGGTTTGGTTCAAGAATCAAGTTACACAAACTTACATATATAAGCAATTGAAAATCACTATTCTTTAATCTTGACAACTTTATGGATAATACCCAACATAAAGTCGTTGATTTGACCCTCACATTTTCAGGGTCACCGCAAATCTCGTTTACAATCTCCTTGATTCCAAGGTCTTTAACCATCATCTTTCTTGAAATTTCAAACACATAAAATTCAAACATGTATATGAGGCTTCATAGAGAGAGAAGGGCGGGATATATCTTTCGCGTTCACAATGTTGACAATTAAATCAAAATCAAAATTATGGTTCTAAAACAAACCTTTTGGCTTCAAGAAGAGGAAACTTAGAATATCTTTATTAACAACGTTAAAATAAAACGGCTTCAGATGGATTATATGTAATCGATGTGTCTCTCATTCTCATCAAGAAAGCAAATGATCAGATACTTGGTTAGTAAATGAAAATCCATGACCGTAAAATCAAAAATAAAATAAAAAAGCTTGAACACAGAAAGGTAAATTAAAAAAAATAATAATAAAAGCTTGAACACAAACTTTCGTATACATGTAAAGTACAATAAACAAAGCTCAAAATTTTGTGAAAGAATTCCCAAAATTCTTGAAGGCGCTTTCACCTGTGGTTCATTGGGACACCTTCAAGAAACAAAAATCATAAAAAAATTGAAATCATAGACGAAAGAAATAAAGTCATATGACCTCAAATATAACCATGGGAAGTGAGCTTTCGATTTTAAGCATCATGTTCATGTTGAAGAAAGAGAGAGGTCGGTGGGTGTTTGGCTATAATTAGTGTAGAGCAAGAGAAAAGTGGAGATGGTTTTAAATTTGAATGTAGATTAGGGTTTGAGAGAAAATGGGAGCGTATGAATTTGATTAGTAGATGAAAAGTCGTATAATTATGCTACAATCACGGTGATTGATATAATCAATTTCAAATTATGATATAATCTTGCATAATATCTTGCATAATAATATGGATGAAATTGGAGTAGGCTGGAAACCAAAAGGCAGAAGAATATGAGGAGGACACGTGGCATTTTAAGGTATTAAAAAGTTGACACATGACAATTTAGGATTCATTTATTAGAAGAGGTATATATATATATATATATATATATATATATATATATATATATAGTAGGTGAATACCCACGCGTTGCGCGAGAATAAAATTATATAGTTAAAATAATAACTTTTACAAAATTATTATTTAATATTTCTACTTTGAAACAAAATGTTAGTAGTAAAGCAAACATATAGTTAACATATTAGTTTTATTAAACATTATAGTTTAATTTTTAATTCATTGTGATATATACAATTATTTGATAATTTTATAAACCGTTTAAAATTGTGTAAATTATATATCAAATGAATGATAATATAACGGGTAACAAAACGTATGAACAAAAATATGAACTGCAACTTTTAGTGACATAAAAATAGAAAAACATCTATTATAACATTTGTATTAAAAAAGATATATATATATATATATATACAACGAATAATAAAAAATATGAAAAATAAGCACTACAACTTTTAATAACATAAAAACACTAAAACATCTATTATAACATTCATATTAACTCTTCATATTTAAATCACAACTCTCTTCAAATACATTAATGTTTTTAATAAGCAAAACTTTACAACCTTATAAAATAAAGGAAAATAAAAAGTTATTAGTGATTACTAATTAATAATCATAAGTTAAAAACTTTTGAGTTGTAACTAATAAATATACATAAATTAGAAAACTCTTGAGTTGTAGTGTGAGTTTCAAATGAATGCGGTACTTGGAAATGTGAATTTATTATTATTAATAATTTATTATTATTATTATTATTATTATTATTATTATTATTATTATTATTATAATATTCGTCTAAATAATTGGTTTTGATGCATCATTTTAATCCCTTCAATTATTAAACATAAAAATATTTAATTATAAATTTATAACATACAGGTGCATATACATGTTAAACAAATCACATATAATATATATATATATATATATATATATATATATATATATATATATATATATATATATATATATATATATATATTCGTAAATGTCATACGTAATTCTTGTCGTAGTAATATGGATAAATTACTTTCATATGAAGAACATATTATGATAAGTCTATCATAATTACATATCAAATGTTAAAAATTATGTTATCTTTTAAATATTGTCTTGTAAATATGTTGTGTAGTATAACCCAACAAAAAAATAATAGAAAATAAACATAATCAAAATAGAAAAACTACAATCAAATAAATAAGAGCATTGAGTGGTTGAATATATAAATAAAAATGTTACATAAACATACATTTAAATCAAAAGAAAAAACTAACATTCGTCAACTTTGCTAAAAAAACATATATTCGTTTTCTAAATCTTCTTTATTCATTTAACAACATTCAACCATAGAAACTTGATGACAATTCTTCACTAACCTACAATCAAAATATTTTTCTTAAAAAAGAAGAATCAGAAAAATATTCCAAGCAAAACATTGATGTTTGGAGAGTCACATTCAAGATTGAGTAATACATACAAATCACATATAAATATTAAATGAGTAATTGAATATAAAGAAAGAATAGAAAATGTTCATTTGTTTTGGTTGAAAGAAAAAATCATATTACAATTCCATCGATGCGACATAACCCATTTCTTCAAATCATCATATTTGGATCGTGAATGTTTCAACTATATGAAAACTTTTGAATCACAATATCTTCAACCAAATGACGACTTTTTTGTAAAAAAAAATGTACTAATATAACTACATATATAATAAGAGAATGCAAAAAAAATATTGGAAATTTATAAATACTATAAATGATTTTAATTAAGGAATATAAAAAGTTATGTAGGTTTCAAATCAATATGGTTTGAGAAAACAAAATATCTCTAAACATATGATTTTGAATGGTATGGTTTGAGAAAACAAAATATCTGTAAACATATGATTTTGAATGGTATGGTTTGAGAAAACAAAATATCTGTAAACATATGATTTTGAATGGTCTCATTTATATTACTGGAAAAAAAGATAACACGATCAAATTATGAGTAAAAAATTATACATTCTTCCACAACCTTGACTTGTAGAGCTCTTTTATGGACTCCATCACTACATATACATTCTAAAAGAATTGTGTCTATTGAAATTTTTTCATTTCATTTTCTTATGACATCCTTCTTACATGTAAGATTTTATATAACACAAAAGATTGATCTTTTTATAGTAAACTTTTCACTAAATGCTAATTAAACATAATATAAGTTATAAAACTTTTGAGTGTTAAATCATAATTAAGAAAATTTTTGAGTTGCATTAGTTAAAAAATGAGGTTTCAAATGAATATGATTTGAGGAAGTTAAAAAAAGGGGTTTCAAATGCATGAGATTCAAAAAAAAATGCTAATTTTATAAATATATATATATATATATATATATATAAAAGGTTCAAATGAGAAAAAAAAGATTAGGAACCATTTAAAACTATTTTATTATTTTTTTTTTATCATTTTAACGTTAACACTAAAAACACACAAACATTTATTTTTTAAAATCAGATCTATCTTTTAAATTTGGAAATCTTTTACAACTCTCCCACCATCTTTGAAGAACACACAATCCTTATCACCATCAACACCTTTCACCGCCTGCATCACCACCAACGACACCACCGCCACCGGCAGCATCATCGCTTCTGAAAGAACGCCTTCACCTCTTTCCACCGTCGTTGTTCTACCGCTGCCTTCGCCATTCTCGACGTTCAGATCTGCGACTTTCCGACAGCCTCCAGATCTCTGATTTTCCGGCAGCCTTTAGATCTGTGATTTTCCAGCGGCCTTCATATTTGCGAATTTCCTACCATTGTTGCAGTAGATCTTCCAGATCTGTGATTTTCCAACCATCATGATCTCCTCCTACACCTCTCGCTTCTTCTCCGCGAAGACTACGACCACCAGCACCTCCTCGTATCAGATATCGCCACCGCCATCGTCGTTGGTCCACCACTGTTTCCATCAGATCTCTTCCTCTTCCTCTCTTCCGACGAGATCTACTACCATCGTCTTAACTGCTAGCTATTATAGACCGTTCCACCACAATTTTCCATCATATCTCTTCCCCTTTCTCTCCTCTGGCGAGTTCTTACGTTGTCGTCTCCTTCGTCAACAGTCGTTTTCTGATAATGTTCTTGTTTTAACTATCAGCAATCACACCGGAGTGCAAATCATAACCGAGTATGCGATACTTTTCTGTTAACGTCTTCCGACAAGGTGTTCCGACGATGTTTTAGGCTTCCTAGTGAGTTCAACATGACCAGGTGTACTGTTTGGTCATGAGTTCCAACAGATCTATTCCGACGAGTATTTTATGTGCCTTTCAAGGATTACAGTTGAAAATATAATTTCAGATTTGCAAGAAATGTGAGGTCGAAGTCATTGTTCTCCGGTAATGTTATGGAGATACTTAAACAGTTGAAGGTACATGATTTATCTAACTCTGTTTATATGTGCAAAGGTAAAATTTTTTATCATTTGCTTGGATCGAGAGTACTATTGGTTTGCAATGGAGCTCTCCACTATAAGAAAATGATATAGACATTTCACTTATTTACATTTAATTTAAATAATATGACATATCTAGTAGCTAGTAGGAATAGTTATTACTTTAATTAATATACTTTTTCCTCTATTTACTTTTATTTTAACGAGTGATGTAGTAGTTATTACTTTATTTTTAAAAAATTTAATTTAACATTTATTTTAACAATGAATTTAATAAATATATATTAAGTGAAGTTTTAACGTCAGACTAATTCTATGGAACTCAAAGATGAAATATTATAGTCTTAAAATTATCTAGCCCTAAAATTTGACATATAGTGTTTGATTATATATTTTTGTTGGATTAATGTCTAAGCCCGTAACTATTTTGGTATGTATTTGATCCGATTGTGTCTGGTCCTGGGTTGCCTTCACCAAAGCAACTTGATAGGATGATTTATGAAGAGAAAGGTTATTATGATTTATTAATATATTATATGAATAATATATTAAGAGAGAAATCATATTGTTTAATTAATATTAGTCAAGAATTAATAAGAATTAATTCTGTGGCTAAAAGACATTAATTAAATAAAGAGGACTAGAACTGTCAATTGTATGATAGTTGAATATTGTGTTAATGGACTCCATAAAAGTTGGAGTGGACGAAATCTATGGGGAAACCCATTAGAATTTGTCTAAGGCCTCTAAGGAGGGAGTCCATGGGCTGCTTAGGGCCTAAGCAGTCGGATTAGGGTTTCCTGGTTGAAAACCCTAATAGCCTAACTATATAAGGAACCCCTAAGGCCCCAAAAACGTGTGGAAGTAATCCCCAAGGGTTCTTAGACGTTTTTGGTGCCTCTCATCCTCTCTCCTCTTCATCATTATCTTGCTCTTGGTGTTTGTGAGCCATTAGAGGTGTGACACTAAGCTTCTTGAAGATCAAAGAACTCTTGTAACCATTGAAAGGTAAGATCTAAACCCTAATTCATATGTTAATTTGATTGTTGTATGCTAGATCTAGGGTTTATAAGCATTGGATGATTATTGCATGTTCATTAGACAAACTAGATCCAAAAGCTTTAGGGTTTTGCATGTACACCATATGATTGTTGTAGTGATCAAAACCTATCAATTTTAACAAGATTTATAAGTTTTTAAGTCGTATTAAACTGTGAATTGTGAATTCTGTTAACGAGATTCTTGAAATATAAATTTTAAGTTGAGAATATAAATGTGAATATATAAATCTTTTTATATTAAACTGTGAATTTATTTTATTAAACTGTGATTTTTTTTTGTATTAAACTATGAATTGTCTGTATTAAGTTGTAAAATGACTGCCGTGATTTTTTTTTTGAATTTTGTGTTTCCTTTTGAAATATAAGATGAAAAAACATTATACACAAATATGATTTTCTATAATTTTGAATAAAAAAAGTAAATTTTAAATAGTGAATATTATGTAATTAAACTTTGAAAGAAACGCTAGCCTATAGATCTTAATGTATAAATGTAATTTTTAGTTAAGAATATAGATGTGAATGTATAATTTTTATACATTAAACTGTGAATTTTATGTGCTAAACTGTAATTGATTGTATTAAGTTGTAAATTAATTGTATTAAGTTGTGAATTAATGTTTGAAATGTGTATTGTACTATGAATTCTGATTTTTGAAGTATTAGTTTGTGAATTTAGTGTTTGAAATAATGAATTAAGCTTTGAATTAGTATCGAAATATTTTATTAAACTATGAATTTTGATTTTTTTTATCCACATATGAATTTTATACATATAAATAAGTTGTGAATGTAGTGTATTAAAAATAAATTTTGTATATTAATCTGTAAATTTTATTCACAACTTAATATAATAAATTCACATTTTAATACATAGAAATGCCTCAAGATATGAACGTATAAATATAAGTTTTAAGTTGAGAATATTACCGTAAATATATAATTTTTATGTATTAAACAGTCAATTTTGTAAATTAAATTGTGAAAAAATATGAAGTTATAAATATAAGTTTGAAGTTAAGAATATAACATTTGTGTGTATTAAATTATGAATTTGTTATATTAAGTTGTGAATTTTATGTATTAAAATGTAATTAAATGTATTAAGTTGTGAATTGACTGTATTAAGTTGTGAATTTTTTATATAATTTTATGTTAAAATATTAATGATTTATATTTTTGTATTAATTTTTCTTATGAATATATTTAATTTTGTGTTCTATAAGTACGTAAGAATGTATTAATTTTTAGATAATTGTTTTGCATTAAATTGAAAGTGAGTGAATTAATATGTTTATTAAACTGTGAATGTAGTATTTAAGTTGTAAATGCATGACTTAATATACAAATATGATTTTGAATGAATGGTGGTTGTGACGGTGGCACAAACGGTTGATAGCAGCGTGTAGTGGTGGCAATAGAGTTTTGGTTTAACTTCTCCGAATATGTGAATTAGTGTAAATAGATTCTATTAAGTTGTGAATTTTATATATTAAACTGTACGTGGGCTGTATTAAGTTGTATTTTATATAAATTGTGTATTAAAATATGAATGGATGTATAAATGAAAATATTAGACTATAAAAATTATGATTTTGTCATTTTCTTACCTAAAAAACAAATATCATGATTTTTGACATATTTAATAAGTATTCACAATAAATATTTACTTATAAAATGGGGTTCTTATGGTTCTTAATCTTTTGTGGTTCTTATTTGAACCACTCCTTATATATATATATATATATATATATATATATATATTATATATATATATATATATATATATATATGTATATGAAAAAGTGAATATACCTTACAAGGTATATAAACTTACGTCCCCAAAACTGTCATATTATGTCGTTTTGTGTCTTATATACATTATAAATGTACGAGGTTCTTAAACTTCAACTGCTAACTTGATTTGCTTCCAAGATTTTAAAATTTCACGTTTATCTTTCTTTTACATCATATTTTTCTGCCGAACACCTAACATACTATATATATTATAGCTGCAAATGAAAATTATGTAAGAGGAAGATAATTGTAATATTTTTAAAAATCTTTCTAAGTAAATGTTGAGAATAAATATCTAATGATCGAATAGATTCAACAGGTAAAAGAATCGAGAACATAGAATGAATATCAAATATGTCGAATGATTTATTATCACAGCCTTAGAAGAGCTCAATTAAGAATTGCTACTGTAAAGACGTGTAGGGTTTACAAAGACGGTTTGACGATTACATAAAACAGTTCATGCATGCACCTTAAATAGCTAAAACCTAATAATAAATAACGGGTGGACAAGCCCAACCCGGATACAAAATAGACTAAACAAAAACACCACAATGACGCAACACTTTAAGCCCCAACAATCTCCCCCTTTGCGTCAATTGAGGCAGGAGACCTTCACTGCGGAGTTCGCTTCTGAACTTCAAATAGTTTCGGAATTACGCTGAGCAGAGCTTTGCGAACTTGGATGTACCACAGGATCATGTCCAAAAAGCACTTCTTGTCTGCTTTGCTGTTCCCTCTGTATTTTCCTACGAAATCCAAAATATACTCCAGGCATGATGTGGTGTAAAGATGTTTATCTGCGAGAAAGAAACAAACTTTGTGAAAGTCTGCATCTGTTCGCTCTTTCATTTGAAAAGCCACACACCAACCGTCCTTTTGTATCTTCCCTGACTTCATTTTATCAAAACCTCCAGGAGCTTCCTTGGGGAGCACATATGGCTTCTTTCGCAGTACAACGACAATTTCAACATCCATTTTGCCAACCTCTTGAATGTGTGAGATCAACATTCGTTTGAGGTGAGAAACAATGGGTTCGTACTTCTGTTCCTCCTTCAGCAACATGTTGAACAACATAATCCAGTCGTACGGGTTCAGGCAGGGAAGATCGGCAAGAGTGAATTCGCACACCTGACTCGTAGAACCTCTAGCAACCTTAAAACGAGCGTTCGGGAAGCTATCAGTTTCGATTGGACCAGTAACCTTCACAACAATTATCTTCTTTTCACTCCAGGTTTCGTACTGTGGCTTCATGTGCTTCAGGTAGAACGAGAAGAGCAAGTGGTCAGCACCGCTATCTGTTGGAGGGACGTTCGCAACTTTAACAAAGCTACAAAACATGAAGGCTTTCGGAGTGATTGGAAGATCCAGTTGAGAATCTTTTGTGTTTTGCAAATCGAAAGACACAACTGGTTCTAACCAATACTGGCTTGGAATATCCACAACCTCACTCATGATTCGCTCCAAAGTCCACACTGGAAACAAAAGCTTTCGACTTTCCAATGTGACTTGAGCTTCGCATTCATATCTTTCTTTTTCTTCTGCCTCTCTCACAATTCGTTGGTGTTCATCCATTTGAGCTTCACGAGCCTTCTTTCTTTTAAGCTCGTGCTCATTGGGCTCTTCTTCTTCACTATCGTCTATGATTGGTTCTTCATTGAGCTTTTCCTTTCCTTTCGAATCCTAAGCCACATTATCCTTCAGTTTGTTTTCTTTCTTCGGCTTAACTGTTGGCTTGACAATTGGTTTGGGGATTTCCTTCTTAGATGGCTTCGCAGTTTCTCCCGTGTGTTTCGGAATTGAGCTCGACTCCGAAACATCTTCCAACCTGTTCAGCATAGCGTACACTGGGCGAAGCTTTTCAGCCAAATGCTTCTTGACAGTAATTGTGATCATA